GTCTTCCAGGATGGAGTGCACTGGCACAATCTTGGCTCACTGCAACCTCCGCTTCCCGGGTTCAAGCGATTCTCCTGCCTCAGCCTCCCAAGAAGTTGTGACTACAGGTGGGTGTCACCACACCCAGCAAATTTTTATATTTTCAGTAGAGACGAGGTTTTGTCATGTTGACCAGGCTGGTCTTGAACTCCTGACCTCGGGTGATCCACTCACTCTGGCCTCCCAAAGTGCTGGGATTACAGGCATGAGTCACCACACCCGACATGTGCGCATATATACGCGCGCATGCGCGCGCGCGTGTGTGTGTGTGTGTGTGTGTGTGTATGTGTGTATTTTTTTTTTTTTTTTTTTTAAGACAGGGTCTCACTCTGTCCCCAGGCTGGAGTGCAGTGGCGCGATCTCAGCTCACTGCAACCTCTGACTCCTGGGTTTAAGCGATTCTCCTGCCTCAACCTCCCAAGTAGCTGGGATTACAGGTGTGCATCACCACACCCCTCCTTTTTGTATTCTTTGTAGAGATGGGGTTTTGCCATGTTGGCCAGGCTGGTCTCAAACTCCCGGACTCAAGCAATGCACCCGCCTCGGCCTCCCAAAGTGCTGGGGGGAACTACAGACATAAGCCACTGTGCCCGCCTCAAGCTTTATTTTTAAAAAGCAAAACATCTGAGAGACTGTCCTTGAAATAGAACAGTACTTCCTGTTTGCTAATGATGGAACATTAAACAATGTAATTATTAAAAATACATTGATGGCTGGATGCAGTGGCTCAGGCCTATAATCCTAGCACTTTGGGAACCGAGGCAGGTGGATCACCTGAGGTCAGGAGTTGGAGACCGGCCTGGCCAACATGGCAAAACCCTGTATCTACTAAAAATACAATACAAAAATTAGCTGGGGATGGTGGTAGGTGCCTGTGAAGCTCACACAGGAGAATCGCGTGAACCCGGGAGGCATAGGCTGCAGCAGGCCAAGATCGTGCCTCCATCTCGAAAAAATATAAAATAAAATAAAAATAAAAATACATTGAGGAAAGCAAGCAAATTAAAATATATATTCATAATAATACATGGTAAAGATGTCAATATCAATTCTACTGAAGTGCCCACGTCTTAATATGAATCATTTTTTACCTTTCTTTAATGAATGTAATGCTGAGGTGAAGAAGGTCAAATAACCAGGAGGCTGGGGTGAGCCACTGAACTCAAAGTACCCGAGTACTCCAGGCTGCAGGAAAAAGAGCAGAATTAGGTAACTGAGGCACTGTCAGCCACAGTATAATGGAGGATATTTTAAAACAAGAAACACATATTATAATTGACAATTAATGCATCTTGTTGCATTTCATTTTTTCAAAAAGCCTAATCACATAAGAAAGATTGCAGGTTGGGGCTGAACATGCCCTCACCTCCACTTAACAATAAGAAGGTAAGGGACGGAGTTGCAGCAGCTTTAACAGGATTGCACAGTGGTCATTCAGGAAAATTCAAAGCTAAAACTTCCTTCTGTCCTATGAGTAGGTCTTTCCACACTCTGTTGACAGTACAATTCTCCCAGGCTCAAATCTTCATCAGCAAGTTCATGTTCTCAATCACTTTTAGTAACTCTAGACAAGCTATGTCAATAATTTTCTTTTAACTTTTCTTAAGTTTCTTCTTGAATCACTTTCTCTCACTCACTGCAAACATACCTTCACACTTTGCTGGAAATCAGGGTTAATCTTCACCTGTAATCAAGCCCCTTCAATGGGAAACAAACCATAGAACCCCCGCCTTCCCCACCAATCCCCCACATCCACTTGGCCAAAAACCCAGCATTCCACAATGGCAACTCTCCTTTCCCTCAGGTCTGCAGGGGACCCATCTCTGGCCCTCTGGCTCCTCCGTCCTACACACTCACTTCCACCTGCTCATTCTACTTCTCTAAGCTGGGCACAGAATGCCCCTTCATTCTGTGAAACCAATTAACTGTCCCCTATCAGATAAGTTATTCCTTCTTTGAAGGCACTATGGCACTCACTCCGTCAGATTTTGTTCTGTAACAATCATATCTGCCTTAAAAGTCAAACTGTGAGATCCCTGAGGAAAGAGCACCGGACTTGGAGTCAGAAGACCTAAGTGGAACTCTGAGATCTAGTGGCTGAAAGAACAGCCTTGGGTGAACCCTTCAATATCTTCGAAGCCTCAGTTGCCTGATGTGGAAACAGGAACAATTTTCACAGGGTTAAGCCAAGAGCAGGCCTGATGAACCATAAAGCACTAGGCAAATGAGAAGAATCCTTTTGAGCCCAAAAACACTCAGCACCACACTCTATATTAGTAAGTCATTGTGGAAGTGAACTTTATCATTGGAACAAAATTGCATCCATAAGTTAGGGTGGAAATTTAATCTGCTACTAAAGTTTAAAATCAGTATGTTACATAGAAGAGGAAACTTCTGATCTGTAGTGGAATATACTATCTTTCCAGTCTAAACCACTGGCTTGT